GATATGTCAAGAGCTATGTAATGTTGTGAACAACCAATAAAAAACATTTAAAAAAAAAGCCCAAAGCAGGGTTTCTCCACTGAAACTATACTGGTCACATTGATATCTGAGTTTCCTGAGATTCTACTATTTCCCTTTAGTTATCCAGTACATGGCCATGTCACAGAGCTGGGAGGTGGGACATATCTTGGACACAAAAGCATGAGCCTATTCTGGAGAGTGGCCAGAATTCAGGAAGCAAACATGAACTTAGGAAGATAGTAGGTGTTGCCCATTCATAAGGCAAGCCGCAGTAAATTCATAAATTGGGCAGAATGAATGCTGGAAAGTTTTCTACTAGACTGGACCCATCCATTTATGCATTCTCTTTTCTAATGTCTACAACCAGGGACACAGTGGGATACACAGACATAGAAACACGAGCCTTGTCAAAAGACTTACTAAAAACAGTCCACTCCAACTCAAACAAACCGCCTTTCCTACCTATTCTCAGAAAATATGACAAAAGCACAAACTCACACCCACCCCCACAAAGGCACTTCCTTCCCCCAAGTAGGTCTGTGACTATCCGGAGTGTCATCTGACTGGTGGGCCATACTATGTTCCCCCAAAATGGCCTGTCCTCTTTCAGATCTGGCCTCCTTGGCCAACTCTGTGAAGTTGTCAGGAGCCAGTGGTGAGCCACTTATTACCTGCTTTCTCAGGAAAGTAACCTCTTCAGAGCTTTCCTGGCATTTGGACATACTCACATCAGTAGGTACCAAGAAAGACTGACTCTGTCCTAGGTAAATCAAAACAAGTGAGCCTACTGGAATTGGGACTGGGACTGGGACTGGCTCTGGGTGCCTGGCTTCCTGGATCTCAAGTTCAGAGAGTTCCATCACCAAGAAAGTGAGGTGAGGTCACTTTCTTCAGGAAATGAATTAGGTCACTTGCTTGGCAACCACTTTGTCCTAACAGTTTCTTCCAACGGTCCCATGATATGAAGGCTGCCCCTGCTTCCTGTGACACTTTCACAAGTTAGAATGGTATATCCACCATGGGCACCCAGGAACAGCTCTCCACACAGGCCTGGTTTGGTCCATCTTGTCTACATTAAGAAGAGAGAGGCTCATTCAGACACATCCCTTCATCCTGACCAGGTTGTTTGCCATGGAAGTTTACTTTTGCTCTCTCAGGTCCTTCATAGCTACCTACATCTTATCAAGGGATCATATCTGCATGGACCTTTGAGGTTCTCAGCAGGTGGCAGATGCCCTACATTCCTATATTTTAATATCAACTCTGTCCCTGCTCTTTTGTAAACTTGGATTGAGGGAACAGTGTATGGTTAGGGGTAAGAACATGTTCCATTTGGGTTAGGAATCATTCTCCTGGATAAAAAAATGGTTTTGGGAACCTGCCATATTCATAATAATATATAGGTGAAATATATGTATGAAAACTGAAATCTAAGTAAGATTTGAAGCCCAGAAGGGCATTGGGCCCTTGATTGGGATACTTAGCTTTGAATTACATTCTGCACAGATGTCTCAGATAAATTGATATAAAATGGCATAAGACTTGCACCTTGAATGATTGAATGTGGAAGAGAATATCCAGTCAAAAAGCTATAGTAGGTAGGATTAGGAAGATAGTCAGTAGGTTTAGGAAGAAGAGTGAGTGTAAAATTTGAACCAAAAGTTCTTTAGCAGTAGGGTGTCAGAGAGTGAATGTAAATATAAGCACATATGAAGAGTCAGTCACAATGATGAACTAGGGAAATATTGTAGGAAAGCAGCTATCCATAGAGACATTAGGAAATCAGGCAAATTATAAAGTGAGTGATAGGATTAGATATTTTCAAAAGGGTTGAGGGTGAATATATAATCTTAGGAAGAAGCAACTGTGTAGTCACAAATAGGATTGACATTTGAGAGCGTTAGGCAACCTGGACAAAAATGTTTTTAGTAATCCATGCTCACTTTCCATTTAGCCTTTCATATAAACATAAGTGTGAACTTTGCATTTTGTGTCTAGAATATCACTGTGATAAAATCTATATCTAGAACAGGTGACATGAGTATTTCTTTCACCATTTCTGGGAGCAATATCTTCAAGACGTATTAATTAGTATTTGGAGGCAGAAATAGGTGTACCCTGTGTCTATGAATAAAGAGATAATGCATGAATAGACCATACTGTAAATGAATAATATAACTGGTTCCAATTTAAATAATGGATTGAATTGATATCTGAAAATATATAGGAAATCTAATATTGATACACAATCATTCATTCCAACCAGTTATACATCTAATGGTAATATTAGGGTTATGGTTTACCATGAAGGGTGTGTGAGTTTTGCTTGAAAAGTGATTATGGAAATCGATAATAATGTCTTTGGAAAAAAGTCTCCTGAAAAAAACAGTCCAAAAACATAACCCTGTATATAATCATAACCCTGTATATAATAAGATATATATATTTCATATTTGAAAAATCTGGAAAGTGTGTGTCTATATATATAAACAAAACAAACACACACAGACATTAAAATGTAGAAATATATATGCCAATCAAAATTCATCATGAAATATATATCATCCACAAATCCAAAAATATTTATTTTACTGAACATGGATTTATGTGTCATGATGTTCAAGTAGAAAGCTCACCCATAGGTTGAAGTTTCAGTTCCAACAGCGTTTAGGAGGAGTGATCTCTTCTGACAATTTGTATCTGCCAACTCAGCCACCTCACAAAAATGTATGTGGGATAACACATAGGATTCTATATGTGCATGTAGAAATACATGTGCTGAATAGGCTACAGAGAAAGGGAGACAGGAATTCACGTATTTGTTAACTTTACAAACACATGGAGAACTATTTCTCTTAAATTAAACTAGATTTATAACACATACCCTGTATAATGCAAAAGGAAAGTCCAACTCTACACCATGCTTCCTCTGAACTGCTTGTATTTCTATTTTGTTTGGGTTATTTTTCTCCATCATATTAGGATTCATAATCAGAGTCTAGTAGGGTATGGGTTAGTTTCAGGGATTCAGTATTTCCAATGGAAAAAAGGAAAATAAATCCAATGGGTATGCAACTATGTGCTACACAAAAATCTTCCCACTCCCATCCAGAACAATGCCTTGACATTACCTTGGCCCCAAGTAAGACGCAATTCGAGGAGAAGAGTTAGAAAACCTGTGAATACATATCTGCAATGGAAAATGCTCAGGAGTTCACAACCTTAGAAATGGTAGAGGAGTTTCCATAAGTAGGGGACAGGGTAGACACTGGACAAACATAGAGCTCTGCTAGCCTAAACACTTCTTGGGAAACTGCCTCTGAGGTTGGGCACTTGAAATATATTTTGTTGTCAGGAGCTTTAGCTTCCTTTGTAGTGAGACCATCAAAGCTTGGTCTGCATCTATGTGACCTGGAGGGCATGGTTTCTGATTTTCCAATGAACATGAGGCAGCAGTGCTGAATTCTCTCTTTGTAGGTAAACTGTGGCCACTGGTGGCTAAGTGTCTCCCAGTGTGGACTGTGAGGCCATTTGGTCATCCTCCACTTTTCGTGGTATTTCTTGCGGCTGAACTGGGAGTTTGGTATTTGGTTCAGGAAATACAAGGAGTTCAACTGGGACACAGTGCTGGAGGGAGTTCTGTCACGTGTGCTGACTCAGGGTCCTAAGAGAACGCACCAACCAGTCTTCTATCCCACAGACCTTGCCCCCTTGACTATAGCAACCTGATTCTGAACATTGCCCTGAAACCTCTCCATATAACAAGATGCCTTTACATGTAAGGTTCTGCTGGCTGCACCCTGTGAGTCACAAGCCATTTGGAAGCCAATGGTAGATCCCCATGGCTCCACCACAGATGTTTTATCACACACCTGCACACCACTGCTCTAGGCCCACTAATCAGCAGGCTCCAACTTACTGGCATCTCTCTTCTACACCATTTTCATGAAAACCCAGTCAATCAAGGCACTGTCTGGTACACTCATGATCAGCAACAGGACATCCAAAGATTCTCCAGTGCCACCTGGTCATGAGAATTTCAAAAATTTCATGGTATTCATCTAGCCATTTTTCAAGGATGAAGTTGGAGGCACTGTGGGTTTCTATTCATTCAGGAACCATTAAATGATGAGGAAGCTCATTTCAATGAAAGCTCTGGAGAACTCTCACAAACAAGGCTTCCCAAAGAGTGGCCAAAAGGTCACATGAAGCCAGGCCCATTGAGGTCTATCCTTTCAGCTATCCAGTACATGGCAAGTCACTGAGCTTGGCAGTGGTACATATCTTGGACACAGAGCCATGAGCCCATTCTGGAGAGTGGCCAGAATTCAGGAAGAAAACAGGAACTTAGGAAGATAGTAGGTGTTGCCCATCGATAAGGCAAGCTGCAGTCCATTCATTAATTGGGCAGGATGAATGCTGGGAAGCTTTCTACTAGACAGGACACATCCATTGATGCATTCTCTTTTCTAATGTCTACAAGCTCAGTGGGATACACAGACATAGAAACACTTCCCTTGTCAAACGACATACTAGAAACAGTTCACTCCAAACCAATCCTCCTTTCCTACCTATTCTCAGAACATGAGACAAAACCACAAACTCACACCCTGTCATCTCTTCCAACCGCCACACAAATGACCATAATAATGAAAACCAAAACACTCCCACAATGTTGTGAAAAGTTTATTATAAATCCTCATGCATGAACATGAATAAATTTAGGGAGTGTATAATAAAACACATATATTTCATATTTTGAAAAATATGGACAGTGTGTGTGTGTGTGTATATATATATATGTATATATACACACACATAAACAAAACACAGACATTAAAAAGTAGCAATATATATGCCTATCAAAATTCATCATGAAATATATATTATCCACAGATCCATAAATATATATTTTACTGAACATTGATTTATGTATAGTGTTGTTCAACTAGGAAGCTCACCCATAAGTTGAATTTTCAGTTCCAGCTGTGTTCAGGAGGAGTTATCTCTTCTCACAATTTGTATCTCCCAAAATGAAATAGAAGACACCATCAGAAGACTACCAACCAAGAAACGACCAGGACAGGATGCATACACAGCTGAGTTCTACAAGACCTTCTTTAAACACCAATACTCTTCAATTTGTTTCAGAAAATAGGAAAAGAGGCAGTACTTGCAAACTCATTCTGAGGCCAATATCACTCTGATTCTAAAATCAGGCAATGATACACCAAAGAAAGAAAACTTCAGACCAATATCTCTATTGAACATAGATGCAAAAATTCTCAATAAAATTCTTGCAAATTGAACACAAAATATATCAAAAAGATCATGAATCAGAAATAATTGGGATTCATCCCAGAGATGCAAGTTTGGTTCAACAGACTGAAATTAATAAATGTAATTCAACAGATCAATAGACTCTAAGATAAGAATCATATGATCATCTCAATAGA